TGAATGTTTGCACACATTCTTCCTCTTGATAATTTATTCTTCATGCAGCCTTTTTGTGCCTCTCTTTGCCATTTTGTTGAAATTCTGTAGGCATTCTGAGACATAGTCTAGAAGCTTTATCTTGAGCACAGACAAGCAAACCCAAAGCATTGTTTGGGTTCCAGTCATTGTGTAGCATACTTTGCAGCTGTTACTGCAAAGAGCTATTGCTGTTCTTAGCAATCTATATCGCATTTCTAGAGTGACCTTTCGCGGTTGGAGATGTGGTCTCAATCAGAGCTTCACTTTCAAATCTCATAGCCCCACTGCTTCTCCTCGTTGTTACTTAAACCTCCTCTTGTCTAGATGCGACTGTGGCACAGTGGTTAAACTGCTGTACTGCAGCCAAAACTGTGTTCACAACCTGGGGTTCAATCCCAGGTAGCGGCTCAAGGTTGACTCAGCCTTCTATCCTTCTGAGGTCGGTAAAACGAGTACCCAGCTCATGGGAGGGGGGTGCAATGTGTAGCCTGCGTAATTAACTTGTAAACCCCCCAGAGAGTGCTTGAAGCGCTATGGGGCGGTATATAAGCAGCACGCTTTATCTCAATTATAGCACTAAACTCTTACCTAGTTTTATACTCTTCTGTCCATAGGCCACTGGTTTTAAATCCCTGTTTTACCTCCAGGGTGTGTAATGAAGAAGAGAAAGGATGGGAGAAACTAAGTTAACACAGCATGAGAGGAATTTCAGTAACATGATGGCCATGTCAGTCTGACCCACAAAAGCACCAACATCAGCCGCTGTCTATAAAATAAGTACATTGGACACTAATGACCTGTGCAAGGCTGGCCAGCTTAGTGCAAGAACTTCTTTCAGTGACACGTGTTCCCAGGTCAGATTCCCAAATTTGAGAAAGTTGTTTGGTTTGGTAGAGGATAAATCCAGTAAAGAAAATCAGCAAGCTGTTCCTATCATGAAAACATTGTTGTGTTGCTTTCTACAGTGGCAGAAACCCATCAGCCTAGCTGAAAAAGCTTGACCAAGCACTTTTCTGACTGTTAAAACGAGGCAAGTAGACTCCAGGGCAACATCTGTTGCTACAACTATTCTGAAGACATCTCTGAAGCTAAGAATTTCAGATATGTTATAGCTGTTCCTACTGAGAATGGAAATTTACCAAGTGATTAAGAAATTATGCAAGACCAATGTGTTGCAACTCTAAACATTTACAAACTTAGAGAAAGCTGTAGCATTTTTTAAAATTGCATGTATATGTTGGCTAAGAAAGGTGGTACAGATTATATGTAATGTACCCCATTAAACAATGTTAAAAAACTAGGAGCACTCCCCAGCCCCCTATCCTGTTTCCTTTCTTTCTTGCACATCCTCAGCCCTCTTTATTTTTCTGCATTGGCATTTGTGCATCAGTAGCTGAAATTATGTTGCTTAGCGAGTACATTGCAAGTAGAGTTGACTCATTTGAACCAATGGAGTGTCCAGAGGAGCTGACTCACCAAATCTCTCCTGATTCAGTGAGTGTACTCTAGTGCAACTAAACAACACTAAGCAACAATATTTCACCCATTATATATCTATACTGCTGTTTTTCATAGATCTGTTTAAACTGGCAGTCTAAAGCAGTGGTTCCCAACCTTAGGTAACCCAGGTTCTCTTGGGCTTTAGTTCACAGAAACTTTCACTAACAGTCATGCTGGCTGGAGTTTCTGGAAGTTGCAGTCCAAGGATATCTGGGCTTCCCAAGGTGGGGAACCACTCGTCTAGAGAAGCTAAATCTGAACTGTGAAGTTGGATTCAACCAGAGGGAGACACAAGACTGTACTACTAATAACTCAAAAATGGAATAATAATAATAATTGTGTGTTGTCAAGTCTATTCTGACAGATGGTGACCCCTCTCAGGGTTTTCCAAGTAAGAGAATACTTCGAAGTAGTTTACCATCCCCTTCTTCTGGGGGATATCCTGGGACTGTGCAGCTTGTCCAAGTCCACACAGGCTGGCTGTACTCACAGGAGGCACAAGGGGGGGGGGGAACTTCACAGGCTGGCTATACTCACAGGAGGCACAAAGGGGGGGGGGACCAAACTTCCAGCCTTTCACTTTGCAGCCAAATGTCTATCCCACTGAACTATCCAGCCAGGTAATGGAATAAAATGGGGAACATTATTGCTCTAGGACAAAACAGGGAGGAACAGTGATTCCTTAACCATGGTTAAGAGACTCAGACTGATAAGGTTCCTGCCCTGTTTCTTAATCACTTAAGATGCCACAAGGTTATCTCTTTACTAAAAGACTCCCCTGTACGACTGAAGGGATTCCATGGGAGCCTCAGGACCTTCCAGGCCTGGGGTGGGGGTGTGGGAAATCCCTGTGGCTGATGACATCATTAGCCTTTGTAGCATAAGTTATGGAACAGGATTTCAGCCAGTATGTGCTGCCAATTTACAAAAGTTTTCTAAATCTGTAGGTTTAGGTCGCACAGTTTTGGAAAAAGAAAACCCTATCTATATGGATGTCTTGCTGGGAAAATCCTAGCTGGTCAGGGACCCAGGGCAACATGGTGATGTCACAGAACCAAATCACAATGTGCCAACACTTTCATCCAGAGAGTAAGATCTGCAAAGAGATTCCATGGAATGGAATACATGTGTAAGGGAGAGAGAGTAAAAAAAAGAGAGGTGTCCTAACATGAAGCAATAACATTTCTGGGGGTGATGCAATTCTTATGGATTGCACAATACAGCACTTCTTTAGAAGTTTAAATACATTTTACATTTGTTTACTAATCTGCATGTAAGAACAACTGATATACAGATATGTGAGTGTGAAATGAATTCGCTTGTGTGATTGTTTTTAGAAGAGTATTTAAAATGATACCATTGTACTAATTTTAAATGTTTACAGTTTACAGGTCCTTAGTGTGCATTCAATTATCTGCGTAATGCTTGAAGCAGGGAAAAAAACCCCCCAAAAACTAGAGACTTGAATCCTGCTATAGTCCCAGGAAACTTGTTATGCAAAACAGCTGGTGGCTCCAGGTGCTAATACAGAAACCCAAAAAGAAGGCACACTTCATGCAGTGCAGATAGGAAAGTACAAATAGAAGCACATAGAAATTGGCAAGTGTTCACTTAAACCTCTTTCAGGCATAGATACTGTCTGATTTAAATTTGGAAGAATTTTTATTTGTTTTGTTTTCTGCCAAACAAATAAGAAGCTTGGTTGAAGGCAGTTAGCTAGCTTCTATAACAAATTGTACAAGTGGAGTTGCATGAAATGTCTTTGAGGTTGCTAGGTTACCTATGGATTAATGACAGAATCTGTTTCCCTCTTACTTCCAAACTGAAAGCTTATCTTTTCCAGAACAGGCTGGTAGAATTCTGCCTTGCATTACATAGGACTCTAGGTGGTAAATTTCTTCTTTGTTTTTAATGTTTCCTTGTTTCCTTGCATGACTAGAACTTGAGAATGCAATGTGTAATGTACCCATCTTTCTGATGTGCTAGTTTATTGTATAAAAGGTACATTTTTTCCTGAGGAAGTATGCTACAGTAGGCTCAGAATTCTGTCCCTTTGTAACTACCTGAAAATAGTGCTAATCAGATTGGAGTCAAAATGGGGTTGAGAAGTGTCAGCCCATTTGGAAATAAAGATTTTTTTTAAAAAAACCCACACATTTACAGGTAGTTCCCTGAAAGCCAACGACTGAGCATGCCTACAAATGCAGAATATGGGGTGCCACTTAGAAAAGAAAATCAGGATAAAATTGGAATATCTTGCTTATGACCATCTGGAACTTTGGACGGGTACACGTTCTGTTTGAAGGAAGGAAACACTGCCGTGTTCATTGCAAATGCTACTCGTTCTGTTAATAGTCCAGTTTTTTTTCTTTTTGCGTGTTGACTCCATACATCACGTTTTAGAAGACTTGCTCCCTAGTAAATACGGTGGAAGAAATAGAAAAGGGGAGTGGAACATGTTCCTACAGCTGTGATTTTTTTAAAAAAATATGAACAGTTCACAATTCTTTCAATTTTTAAAATTTAATGTTCAATGTTGGATGTATTGTCATTGAATTTTCATTATTGTTACATTTTCATAACCTCCGTTTCTCCAAGGTGATCAGAATGTTGAACATAGTACTTTAATGCGGTCTCATCAACTATAAAACTTATTGGGGGAACTTATTGCTGTCTCTTCAGCTTAATTAATATGGCTTTGAAGGTAAAATAGGAAGGAGGGAAGACATACTATGTACATCATCCAGGACTCTATGGAAGAAGGGTGGTATGAAAAAAAATCATCTCTCTGGTGCTGTTTGCTCTAATTTGTTTCATGTGACAGTAGTTCGCTCAAGCAGCCCTTGTACCATCATATTTGTAACTGCTGTGGATCATAGCTATCAGTTATTGTGGGGTTTTTGTATTAAAATAAAAAACACTGCCCCCCCCCCATGCCTTATAAAGCTGCCAGTAAAATTCATGGGCCAGAATCCTGGTGAAACTTCCAGCTGGCTGACTTTATGCCACCAGTTGCATACTGGTCATGAAACAGGATGGGAGATAAGAGGGTATACTGATTGTGAGAATAAGACCTATGAAGAACAGCCCATCCTTCCATATGTGGTTTCCCTAACAGAATTTTGGCTGAGGTGGCCATTTCAAAATAATACTAAAGGAGATAGGAGTTTTGTCCAAATGTTAATGCCTAAATATGTAGTCAACTCTTCATGGAGAAAGGAAAGGCATAGAGGAGAAAAAGGTAGCAAAGACAATATAAATGAAATAACATGTAATATGTAGATTGTAATTTATAAGGTCTTAACATCTTAACCTAAACATATTAAGAGAGTCAGTTAGTTAAAAAATAATTAAGGGTAATGATCTTTTAGTTAATAATTTTCTGACCATAATGGAACTTTGTACATTGGTTTGATTTTAAATTCTTAATTTGAATCAGGACCCCCTGTGACGTAGTGTCTCGTTTGTTTGTCATATAGAAGACGTGCAGTATATGCCAGATGTTGCTTCCGAACCTGTGCAGTTTTGCATCACATCAGAGGATTCATCAGCATAAATCTCCCTATACATGTCCTGAGTGTGGCGCAATCTGCAGATCAGTCCACTTCCAGACCCATGTCACAAAGAATTGTCTACACTACACTCGAAGAGTTGGATTCCGGTCAGTATAATGATAAAATAATAACAAAAAGAGTAATTTCTTGAACTTTAACTAGTTGCAGCAAACAAGAAGAAAATAAGGAAACTCAAGTACCAGTTGAACACATAAAAAACACATAACTGATCTTTCAGTGCCCTGCTAGAAAAGCTATGGAAGAGACAATGTTTAGAGGTTGGAAAAATGCAGATCAGTGTTGTGTTAAAATTACACTGCAAATAGTCATAACACTTCAGTAAACATAGATGGAAATACATTAAGCATACCTCAGTGGATTGTAGTGCAGGCAACTAAATTATACAGGTGTTCTGTTTAACCTCTAGTGTCTCCTCCATCATTGCTCTCATTGCCCTCCACTTGTGAGAGGACATGCGTTTACTGCAGGGGACCATTTGAATGGGCTCCCCCTGTTAAAGCTAGCTTGGCTTCTGCCTATTTAGTCAGTCACAGCCAGACATTGGAAAAGAGGGGTTTTTTTGGCTAAAGGCATCAGTTGCCAAACAGTCTGTAGTACTTTGGTGATTTCAAACAAAACGAAAAACAGTGCATGGATAAGTCAATGGTCATTAGGGATGGGATTTGTATTTCTTGGAGTACAAATCCCGTAATTCCCCATTCTGGGAGTTTTACCTGACTTGTGCATAGCTTACAGTCGCCTAAATGTGACTCACCTGGAAAAAAAAAGCCTATACAGTGGTGCCTCACTTAGTGATTGCTTCGTTTAATGGCAAAATCGCTTAGCGACAACTTTCGGAGCGTTTTTACGCTTCGTTTAACAATGGTCCTTATGGGCGATTTTTGCTTAGCGATGGTTGGGACCATGCTTTGCATAGCGATAAAAATTTGGGTCCCCTGTTTCGCTTAACGTTACGTGGGGAAAAAAAGCCTATACAGTGGTGCCTCACTTAGTGATTGCTTCGTTTAATGGCAAAATCGCTTAGCGACAACTTTCGGAGCGTTTTTACGCTTCGTTTAACAATGGTCCTTATGGGCGATTTTTGCTTAGCGATGGTTGGGACCATGCTTTGCATAGCGATAAAAATTTGGGTCCCCTGTTTCGCTTAACGTTTCGTTTAAACAGCCTCATGTTTGCTGTTTTTTAAATGTTTTTCTGTTATTTATACAGTTAAAGTTTACTGTTTAAAATGTTTGAAATCATAAAGTGCACTTAATAAACCCTTTGTTAACCAAATTTGACTTTGTTCTGACTCTTTTTAAATTTGTTGTTGTATTCCCCCCCATTGAGATGCTTGAATAGGTTTCAATGCATTTCAATTGAGGAACTGCGTTTCGCTTAGTGATGTTTCCTATGGCGATTTTCGTTTAAGGACAGCAATTCGTTCCTATTGGAATGGATTAACCGGTTTTCAATGCATTTCAATGGGAAACCGCGTTTTGCTTAGCGATGAAATCGCTTAAGCGATTTTTTTGGAACCAATTAACATTGTTAAGCGAGGCGCCACTGTACTGGAAAGCTTTGAGGCTTAGCTAAGGCTACCTCTGCCCAAGCTTCCTGTTTCCTGCCCCAATGAGATCTGGGAGTTTTCTTTCTGAAGAGGTATCTGGGTGGATCTTGGCTTAGCTAAAATCGTACCCTTACTGGCCATGCTTTGTGATGGATTCAAGAAATTGTTCTGCAAAAGAGCAACATTTCTAAGCTATGAGGAGTTTACTCAAGTGGAAAATATTCATTCTTCTATATATTTATAGATGCCAATGTGTGTATAAGGTCTTAACTTCTTAACCTAAACATATAAAGAGAAAGGCGGTTAGTTCATATATTTAT